GGCAACTTTAATAAAAATAATTAAAATAATTACAACTTTACAAAAAGAGAGAAGTTGCCGATCTTGCCCCTATACCCGGGGCAACTTCGTCAATTTCTCTCTTCTTGTAAAGTTGTAATTATTTTAATTATTTTTATTTCCAAACTGATTTTAACCAGTTCTATAGTAAGGTAACATTCCAATAGACAATATGCAAAACTTTTTTTTCAGTTTACAGCAGTATTTATTACACAAAATTTAAGTAAAGCTTAACATGCCGATCTTGCCCCGATCTCCCCTATATATATGGAGGGTGCAAAAGTAGGTATTATGAAATAAACCTTCAGGGAAAAAATCACAGAAGAAAAATAATTAATTCTTATGCGTAGATCACAAATGAGAAGGAATACAAAATAATAAAAGATTTTTGAAAAATGATGATGAACTCTGCACCAAACAACTGCATTTCCAGATTCACAACTGTATACCAATTTTTGCACGCACTATATGTACGGCACATAACCTAACACACACACTGTGTGTACTGCATACTTGTTTAATTGTATTGATTTATTAATGTTTGTCTTCATTCGCTTGTTATGTCCGTATGTGTTTATTTACGTTTGAAATACATATACACATATATAGTAATATATATACAGTATGTATGCACTTGTACATGTTTATATAAATGTGTACACTATATATGGTTTGCACGATAATACTGTAGAAGCAATACTTTATTAAATGGAAAATTCAGCGTAAATCTCAGGAATCTGTTATCATTTTCACACTGCAAAATTTATTAATTTATCAGAAACACCGAGAATATGAATTATTACTAAAAACACAACCATTTAGTCATTTAATTAAGTAGATAAAACGGTAAATTTGAGGTAAACATTTTTATTTATTAAAAAATAAAAGCACTAATTCACTCGTATATAATAAAAACACGAATCTGATATTGCCACGAAAGTGTCATAAAAATTTATCAGAAGGAACATAATATAAAATTATAAACACACAAAATATAATTATGATTAGAACAATATAAATTAAAGTTTAAAATAAATATTTTTTTCTTAGTTTGAAGAAGCTGCAAAAGAAGTTGCTGATGAGCTAACAAGACCTAGACCTGAAGGAGAGGAAAATGTTCAAGATATTCAAATTATGTTAAGATCTGAAGCTAATCCATCTGCATTGAGAGAGATAAAAGTTAGTCAAAAGCATTAGTTTGAATTTGAAATTGACATTATATTGATTAAAAATTATTAGTCAAATTACACCAGTTGTGTTATAAAATGTAATTTTTGTATTTTTTCAGTCTGATAATGTTTCTAAACTAATTAAAATTCCTGGAATTATTATTGCTGCTTCTGGTATTCGTGCCAAAGCAACACGTTTAAGTCTTCAGTGTCGTTCATGCAAAGAAATTGTACCAAATATAGTTGTAAAACCTGGTTTAGAAGGCTTTGCTCTCCCACGTAGATGTAACAGGTAATTAACAATTTTTTAAATAATTTAAAATATTTATTATTGAATTATTATTTTTGTTAATAGTGATCAAACTGGTCGGCCACGTTGCCCAGTAGATCCTTATTTTATTATACCAGACAAGTGTCAATGTGTTGATTTTCAAATATTAAAATTACAAGAATCACCAGAAGATGTACCTCATAGTGAAATGCCAAGACATCTTCAACTATTCAGTGATAGGTAATTAAATTGTTAAATTAAAATGCTTTTTATTTCAAAAATCTATTAAAAATTATTGTATTGATATTAAAACACTAAAAAGTAATAAGATATACTTAGAAAACTCGGTTGTTATGTAAATATGTAAAAAGGTAGTTAAGATCCAAACTTTTTTATTGAATGTTTATCTGAGATAAAACCGTTTAAAAAAAAAAAGACAGACAGACACTAAAGAATAACCAAATAAAAATTAATTTACTTCTCTTTAATGTATTTATTATGATAAATGCCATTTTGATTCAACAATCCTCATTAATATCACACATCTTTTGACAATTGCTAAACATTAAAAAACTGTATATAAATAAAACATGTGATACAATACATCTTACTTAACATTATATTACAAATTTTAATCATCTGACAATTTGTCATTTTCTACCAACACCATACCATCTACAGTTATATTCCATTCTGGGGAAACTATTATACTTGTGTATGAGTTTATTACATTTACATTTTTCTTGCAATTTTTTGGTTATAACAAAATGTTCTTTAATTTTTCTTTTTGATGTATTATCCGTAGAGACCATTGATGTTTAATTATTACAGCTGTCGTATGTTCTTTTATTCATGTTTTTAACTGTCTTCCTGTTTCTCTAATGTATACTTCTGTATTTCTATTACAATCACGTTTTAATTCATATATAATGCTTGTTTTGTTTAATTTTTTTTTACTTCTGTAATATTTAGTTTGTTAGTTAATAAACGAACTAAGTTTATGTCTACCTGTTTCAATTTATTTTTTGCATTTTAAACAGCTTTTTAAAATAGTTGGTAAAGAAGTTTGGATCTTAACAATTTTTTTTTTTTTTTTTTTAGATATTTAAAAATTATTGTATTTTTAGATATTTATGTGAGAGGGTGGTTCCAGGCAATAGAGTTACTGTAATCGGAATCTATTCAATTAAGAAAATAGGAAAACCTACTCAAGTAAGTTTACTAAATAATTTCTTAAATATAAAGCAAAATAAAAAAATGGAAGCTTTTATAAAAGAAAGTCATTTGAATAGAAATTTCTTCATATGTTCACAAATTTTTAACATGTAAATTATATAATGCAATGAAAGAAAGTAGATCATAAGATGATTTATGAAAGTTATGGATTTTTATTACGTAACAATAAAATTAATGTTTTAAATATGGGAATTAATCTTGATAATAAAAGAAAAGTATTTGTACTTCGTGTAAATTAATTGTGTAAATAAATTAATACAATAATAAAAACAGTAATAAGTATAACAAATAGCAATAAAAAATGTAAATTCAGAAAATTCATATAAATGATCATTTCTAATTAAATCTATTACTTTTATAAATCATCATCTGCTTTTTTGTAAGAGGGTAAATCATAAGAAAAGTAGTTTAAGAATGGAATAACTTCATATTAATAACAGAAGACACATAACTAAAATAATTTTAAAAGCATTAACAATATTGTGTTTCATTTACTATTTTCTTTTACATTAAGAATTTGTACTTATTAAAAATTTATACTTTATAAATTATAAGTGAGAAGGAAAGTGTAAAATGTAATAATAAAATATAGCAGTTTAACAAATACAAATATTACATTTCTAATTTTTACTACTATTAGATTTGCAAATAAATCTAACTTTCAATGTGGATTTGGAATTAATTTATTTTTGGAATGATTGAATCTATAATAGTCATAGAAGTAACATGAGTTTACACTAATTGGAAGGAATATGCAATAAAAGTTACGTAAATTGTTGAACTACAAAAGAAAAAGCAGACATAGGATTTTATATGTGGATAATATTTGGAAACTATTATTTAATCATTGTTATAATATATACCAATCTTTTATATCAGCTAGGTGATAAATGTAAACAGTTAATTACTGGAAAATAGCTCAGCAATAGTTATTCTGACAGAGGAAAGTTACCACAAACTTTTTAATACTTGTTTAATTTTCCAAATATCAAAATTAATTAAGAATATTAACTTTCTAATATTATTATACTATATGTTGAAGGAAAAAAATGTAAAAACTCAAAAAATTTTTTGATGAAGAAAATATTATATATTATACAAATTACGGTGTTTTCTGTTAATGTATTGATTTCCATGTTTTCTATTAATACATTTGTCTGACTGTTTTATAAAAAAAAAAATACACTGGTACCTTGTACTTTGAATGCTAAATTTGACAAAAATTCACTTTGGAGTTAAAGTTCAAACTGCATGCTTAGTGAAAAAAATGCACTCAAAGCATAAATGCAATCTCTTCTGTATCCAGGTTGTCTCTTGCTCTTGCATTATGTTTGGATTTTTGTTATATCCACAAACTAAGTATACAACTTTTATATTCTATTACACAAAATAACAACTCACTTATAATGTTAAAGAACATAATACACATGAAAGTTTTTTAATAAGCATCAATAAATCTTTAATTTAGAAATCTCTAATAAATCTCTAATAACCAAGAGCAAGTTATCCCTTGGTTGCTCAAAGGATATCAAGATGATAGTCCAATTCAATCCAAGTATGTCAAAGAATGTCCAGTGTAACCAAGAGGAAGGCTAATGCATTTTCTGAGTTCAATAAGTGATGTTACCTTGTTCTTATATACAATAATGTTAATGAATCCCCAAAGGAGAATTTGAGGTCTCCCAATTCTTTTGCTGTTCAGCACACCTGTTGATTTGAATTTTGTTATCCATTTGTCAATGTTTTTTTTTTGTGTTGGTGGCTGTTTCTTGTATTATGTTTAGAACTTACATTGAACTGTTGTTAATTAATGATTTCAATTCTGCAAACCAAAAAACATGCTGCTTTGTTTTGTGGCATAGCCATTTTTTGTTTCTTTTCACATTCAACAATATTTTTCCTTCTACAAGATAATGTGAGTTAAAAAACTTTAACACTTGCTGGATCTTTTGCTAATCAAAATAAAAGGTTTTTACAAGTGTATTTCTTTTAATAGAATATTGAAGTTGTATACTTAATTTGTGGACACCCTGTATATTGTATGTTGTTCGTTGATATTTAATAATTTCTTCCTACAATTTTTCTTTGTCAACAGCTTTCAGGCTCCCCGTATGTTTGGTATCCTTTAGTTCAAAATTTCCTGAACAGATCATTTTAAACCACATTTGATAAATTCAAAGTTTGAGCATCTTCCTCATACACATGAATTGTTTTTACTGTTTGTATGGTATTTATACTTTGAGTTTCAGAAAGGATACATATGCCTGATTTTTATTTGAAGCCATTTCAACTTGATTCTATTCAAACAAAATATGAAGTAAAAAGTTTAAAATAAGTTTCTAAACAAAGAATACAATTTCAAATTAACAATAATTTGTTAAATTTTACAACTGTTGTAATTAAATTGCACATCTATGCTAAGTAACAACAGTTGTTAAAAATAAGCAAAAACTTTCTGTTAAATCAAATATAACTTTTACTTATTAACCATGGCATCTTGAAAGTGTGTTGAAGCAATGATATAATGAAGCCTAAGGGAAAGGCTGTAATATTGATGATTGAGATGAAAAAGGAACTCATCATGAAGCATGAAAGTGGTACTGTACATGTATGGTGGATCTGGTGGCTATGTTTAGATGCCAAAGTTGGCAGTATGTGACCAGTAAATGCAATTTTCATTTTATTATACATTATTTACATAATTTATTGTTTTTGTGTTTTAATTTATTACAGTAATACCCCAAATTTACGTGATAGGTGGGACTGAGCGATAACCGTGTAAGTTGAATTTGCGTAAGTCGGGGTATAATTTCACAATTTATGTAAAATCCAAGTCGGATGTATGTAAGCTAATAAATGTTCTTGTTAATCTTATCTTGTCTTTTGATTCGTTCACGGTTACAAGAAATCACCACATATTGTCTCTCAAGTCTCCGTAGATATTACAAACAGAAAAAAATAACTCAAAATAAATTGTAGCTATGTGTCGATTCCGCACGGCACGTCTGAACATGTAAGCTGAACAATAGTGTGGGGGGAGTGAGTAATCAAGAGTTGCGTGGCGCTCAAACAAAAGACGAATCAACGAGATTTGAAAATCGCGTAACTCTGAGTTCGCGTAAGTCGGGGTAGCGTAAGTCAAGGTATTACTGTATTTGTGTTATTTTTACCTTAAATTGTGTGTTTATCGAAATGGGTATTGTTTAGGATCTGGGAATGGATTAATTCACATTCTATTTCTAGTGGGAAAAATTTATTTGGACTTCAAATGATTCAAAGTTTGAATGACTTGGAATGAATTAAATTCAATGTACAAAACCCACTGTATAACTTTAATTTCTTTAATAATGTTTAACACATTAATATAATGAAAATAGAATTCTGTAGCTTTAGAAATTTTTAAACATTTTTATTTATTAATTTAACTTATTAGAAAGGAAATAGAGAAAAAACCAATATTGGAATTCGAAGTCCATATTTAAGAGTAATTGGTATTCATGTTGATAATGAAGGACCTGGAAGAACTAGTAGTATTCCATACACCCCAGAAGAAGAAGAATTTTTTCGTCATTTTGCAAGTAGCGGTAATACTGTGGAACGTATTGCAGCAAGCATTGCCCCTTCTATTTATGGCTGTCCTGACATTAAAAAAGCAATTGCATGTTTACTTTTTGGTGGTTCACGAAAAAAGTAAGTATTAATGTATTCAGTATATACAGAATAGCCCAAAATGTTCTTTAGAAAGTTTCTCTCAGTCAATTCAACAGTATGCGAGACAGATTTAAGAAAAGATGTAAAATGCAGGAAAGAAATAATTTAAGCAGCATTAATAGTATCCATCTTTTGTTTAAGTGTGTTGAAGGCATGAATAAAACAACATTTGCTACTATGTCTTGTTTGATGGTCTCTGTTTCATGTGAAAAGCAGTTTTGAAGTTGTCTAAGGTACAGGGTGATCATGCATACACTCTATCATTAAAATAACTCCATAAGAAGTTACAGGGGTTCAAATCTGATAAGAAAGGAGGCCACTCAGCAAATTTCTCACACCTGGTCCAGTCACAAAATGCTTAAATATTTCTCAACAAAAAAACACTTGTTTATGCAGCTATATTTTGTCCATCGTAAATCAGTAGGTAGGCAGCATATTTAATCATTCGGCTTTAAGCAGGAACTGTACTTGCACAGCTGTCAATATATTATGGCTGTAACTGTGCTGACTAACAATTTTGGCACTGTGATTTTTTTTTCTACAGAGACCAGCTGTATTGACATGGAAAGAAATGTTGCAGTTGTTATATGCATGTTTTATGTGATAAACAGCTTTTTTTCAGACTTAGAGCATCTCTTTTGAGAACAATCACATGTTGTCATAAAGGTATTCTCATAAAATTTTTCCATTAGACAATAAAACCTGCATAGCATTATGTTTCACTCATGAGATTTCAGACATGACTGACAAATATTTTCTAGGGGGAGTGAGTAATCAAGAGTTGCGTGGCGCTCAAACAAAAGACGAATCAACGAGATTTGAAAATCGCGTAAGTCGGGGTAGCGTAAGTCAAGGTATTACTGTATTTGTGTTATTTTTACCTTAAATTGTGTGTTTATCGAAATGGGTATTGTTTAGGATCTGGGAATGGATTAATTCACATTCTATTTCTAGTGGGAAAAATTTATTTGGACTTCAAATGATTCAAAGTTTGAATGACTTGGAATGAATTAAATTCAATGTACAAAACCCACTGTATAACTTTAATTTCTTTAATAATGTTTAACACATTAATATAATGAAAATNTTGAATTAGGTTTATTTAAAAAGTAAATCAGAATCTTAGATATTGAATATATTATAGGTATATACTTCAGGGAAAGGAAGTAGTGCAGCTGGATTGACAGCATCTGTAACTAGAGATCCTGCTTCTGTAAATAATTTTCTTTATTTAAGTTTTTATAAAGAATATTTTAATTTATTACTAACTATTACAATCTTCTAGAGAAATTTCATAATGGAAGGTGGTGCTATGGTTTTAGCTGATGGAGGTGTTGTATGTATTGATGAATTTGATAAAATGAGAGAAGATGATAGAGTAGCAATACACGAAGCAATGGAACAACAGACTATATCAATAGCTAAAGTAAGTTTATTTACTGTATAATTTTAAAATTTTTATATACATTAAAAAAAAAATTTTTTTAAGGCAGGAATTACTACTACTCTTAACTCACGATGTTCAGTATTAGCAGCAGCTAATAGTGTTTTTGGTCGTTGGGATGATACAAAGGCTGAAGAAAACATTAACTTTATGCCCACAATTTTATCAAGATTTGATATGATATTTATTGTAAAAGATGAACACAATGAAAGAAGAGATATGGTAAATTTTTTATTATTACATTTTCTAAGAATTTTTTTTTAAAAATTTTGAAATTTTTTTTTAATTTATTAAGATTCTTGCAAAACATGTAATGAATGTCCATGTAAATGCTCAACATATTATTGAAGAATCAAATGACGGCGAATTAAATTTAAATCTTCTGAAAAAATACATTGCTTATTGTAGAGCGTAAGTATATTAAGAATATTTTAATAATAATAACTTTTTATTTAATATTAAATTCATAAAACAAGAGAACATAGATTATTTATTTTTTTTAAAAATGGAATATAGCTTTAATTTACAGTTTGTACACATTTGAGAATAAGTATTCAATACTAAAATTAGAGATAAAACAAAACACTTAAACAATGGATAGATTATATTCCAAACTAATGCTTTAATTCAGATTTAGCTAATAACTCCATTTAGTAGGTTGTCTTCAGGTCAGGTTTTAATTTTTTATTTTACTTTTAACCTAAAGACGTTTTGTTAAATTTATTGAAACTGTCTGTTTATAATATCATTTCATTGTTAAGGTGTTTCATTTTGTTTTTGAATATAGGAATATTCTAAATATTATACCTTAATAATAATTAAATATATACCTTAATTTAATAGACCAGCGATTCCCAACCTGTGGTACGCGATAGGTTGCTTAGGGGTACAGAAAAAAGTTAGTTATTATGGCAGAAAAAATAATATATTATGTATCACAAACTAATAGTATTAAAAAATTATTACGTAAAATATTTCCTTGCAACAATCACAACTTTATTATACATTTTTTCATTTAGTTTTTTTTTCTTTAATTTAAAGTTACAATATGTAAAATTAACAATACGGGTACTCACTAAATTTCTTAAATGAGGGGTACAATCTAGAGATATGACATGTCATGGGGTACGCTAATGAAAAAAGGTTGGGAACCACTGTAATAGACTAATATGGGAAGGAGTAATGTTAAATTTTATCATTCATTATTTATGAAAGATTATTTAAAAATTCAAATAAAAAGTTATTAGGTATAAAATAATATACATAGTGTGTATAGTGCATGTAAATTATTATAGGTACATAGTGATGTTTTTATTTTGCTTTTTATACTATAATACATTATACTTATATTTATTATGGATGTTATGCATTTTAGACATTGTTTTAACAGTATAATGTTTTAAATGGTTAAATAAAGTATCAATTGAAAATACTATAGTAGTAATTTGGAAAATATATGTATGTGCACATTGATGGTTTTTTTTTCTTTCTTTCAGTTAAGATACAAATGTAAAATCTCAAACAGTTACCATAATTGTTTTGTTGTACAGGTATCCCTTGATTAATGTGATTAATTAATCCCTCAATGTTACCACTTATATCAAAATCACATTAATTAAATATGGTATCTACATTAAGTAAAGATGGCTGTTAAAGCTGTGTTAAAACTTCTGCTGCAATTAATTTCTTGCATTAATCAAATCCCATGTTAACCTGTCCTGTGTTATTCCTGACATATCTCGGGTCGCAACCTGCTGACCTTGACCGGTTGACCTGAGATATCTTGTTTCAGCATCGGAACGTTTTTGAAACTAGATGTCACTAGTTTTCATAATTTTTATATTAAAACTAACTTCCGAAATATAATGTTTTTGGTTTTACATTTATTAATATATTTTGTTTGTTCAAAATAAAAAAAATAATTTTGGATGATACAATAGCCACGATTATTTTTTTCAAAAATGTGTCATTTTCGTTAGACTCAACAAAAATTCAATATGGTGCAACATGCAATGGGGAAAAATTTCAACATTTGTTAGGTTAAGCAAGGGATACCTGTGTGTGAAATAATTCATGTTATAAAGCATGTTTCTTATGTTAAGAGTTTCATTATTTAAAAACTTTAACTACAACTTTTAAGAAAATGAATAGAAAAAAGTTTTGTATTTTCCACGCAGTGTATATTTACCAAAATTGTCTATGTCTGATATAAAACAAAAAGGTCTGTTTCAGAAAAAAAAATCTATCAATTTATTAAATCTGAAATCTACTAAATGGTGTCTGTTAAAAATAGGAGAAATTATGTAACATTTTAGACATTAATGTATCTTGATAGCTAGTGATTAGCCAAATATTACCAAAATTATATTCTTTATAAATAGTGATTTACAACCATAAAGTAATAGTTTTTTTGAACATAATAGTTAAATATATTAAGCATTAATAAATGTACAGGTATACCTTGACTTACGTCGTTTCAAAGTTACGTTGTTTGTCAAAAAAGTATATGGAAAAATAAAAATCAAGTTTAAGTCATTTTATTCGACTTTACTTCTGTCCGCCACAAATATTGAAGTCATAGTATCACTAGAAAAACGTTTAAAGCACATATAATCATATTAAAATATATACAAGTATGTACTGTATTTACAGTACATGCATTTGTAAATTTAGATTACTTTTTTTTCTGTACTATATTAAAAACTAAAATTTATTTGTTTGTAAGCTTAAAATAGATTTTTATTAACCATATATTATTAAAAATGCATTAATAAATAAAATACNTAATCTAAATTAATAATTTAGTAAATGTGGACCAAGATTGTCATCAGATGCTGCAGAAAAATTGAAAAGTCGATATGTGTTAATGAGAAATGGTGCCCGTGAACATGAACAAACAATAAAAAAGAAATCAACCATTCCAATCACTATAAGGTAAATTTAATTGTTAATGAATTACATATTTAAACCTTTATGAGTAAATAAATATAAATTAGTTTAAACTTATTGAAAAAGACAATTGGAAGCCATCATTCGAATTGCTGAATCATTAGCAAAGATGCAACTCCAACCATTTGCAACAGAAGCTCACATTGATGAAGCTCTTCGCCTGTTTCAAGTTTCTACGCTGGATGCAGCGATGTCAGGAACACTTGCTGGTGCAGAAGGATTTACATCTGAAGAAGAACATCAAATGCTGGTATGCATTGAAAAACAGATAAAGAGAAGATTTGCCATTGGATGTCAGGTGTCAGAATTCAATATACTTCAAGATTTTTTAAAACAGGTAAAAAGTTATCATATAATAATGAATGTAAGGTATTTTAAATTAAATTTTAATATATCATTAAATTTTGTATTTGTTTTTTTAAAAAATTTCATTTCTTCCTTCAAATTGCCTTAAAATGAGAAATTTTTTAATTTAACAACTAAATCAAAATTTATATTTATAGTAGAATTAAAAAAAAATTTTTTTTACTATCTTTATAATATAAAAATATATCTAAAACTTGATAAGTGACATATATATAATATTTAATTATATATACAGGAGTATTTTAAATCTGAAAAGGACTCAATATGAATGATTCCTTTATTCAAGATTTATTAAATTGAACTGAACCAAAACTCAACTGCATTTAAGTGTCACTTGTCAAGTTTTAGATACGTTTTTATATTATATTATAAAAGATATTTCAAAAAATTTAAAAAAAAAGATTCTACTATAAATATAAATTTTGATTTAGTTGTTAAATTAAAAAATTTCTCATTTTAAGGCAATTTGAAGGAAGAAATGAAATTTTTTAAAAAAACAAATACAAAATTTAATGATATATTAAAATTTAATTTAAAATACCTTACATTCATTATTATATGATAACTTTTTACCTGTTTTAAAAAATCTTGAAGTATATTGAATTCTGACACCTGACATCCAATGGCAAATCTTCTCTTTATCTGTTTTTCAATGCATACCAGCATTTGATGTTCTTCTTCAGATGTAAATCCTTCTGCACCAGCAAGTGTTCCTGACATCGCTGCATCCAGCGTAGAAACTTGAAACAGGCGAAGAGCTTCATCAATGTGAGCTTCTGTTGCAAATGGTTGGAGTTGCATCTTTGCTAATGATTCAGCAATTCGAATGATGGCTTCCAATTGTCTTTTTCAATAAGTTTAAACTAATTTATATTTATTTACTCATAAAGGTTTAAATATGTAATTCATTAACAATTAAATTTACCTTATAGTGATTGGAATGGTTGATTTCTTTTTTATTGTTTGTTCATGTTCACGGGCACCATTTCTCATTAACACATATCGACTTTTCAATTTTTCTGCAGCATCTGATGACAATCTTGGTCCACATTTACTAAATTATTAATTTAGATTAAAATATGTATTGTAAAATATTGCTTATTTAATATCAACAGAGAAACTAAAACTTAATTAAAAATAAAAAAGCATTTTAAATGTATTCTTTTTCTTTTTATTTTATAACTTTTTCCATGCTCAGTGTGTACTCAGNGACAGGTATGGGACCAAAGGAGTGTCCAGATTACTGAAAGTGATTAACTGTTTATAGTTTTCCTTGAATATGTTTATGCAACCTAAAATATTTTATGTTTTAAGTATAAGAAAAAGTATGTACAGTACAAACTTAATTCAGATTTTTTTAGAAGAAAATTTTAGGCTTGACTGTCTGCAAAAATTTTTAACATTTTGTGAACTGAATCAATTAAATCCTCTTAGAATGGCATACAAACATTGCTCTTTTCAACTTCTACCAACATGTCAACATATGAATAAAATCTATTTTATATTTTTTAATATTTGCTATTGAATAAAAATAATTTTTTTCTTATTTATTTTAAATATTAGAGTTCCATTTTAGATCTTTAAAATTTGTTCTGAAATGTTTACATAAACTAATCATAGAGAAGTGTTTGTAATTTTGTTTTTTGTATTCAGAGAGGTTTTTTTAATGAATGTTATAATATATTCCATGTGTACAGTTGTAGGAAAATTTAAAATTTTCATATTATGAAACTCAATTGAAATCTGTCTTCTTTCTAATGAAATTTATTTAAATCACCTCACATGTGTTAGTAATATAGTAATTAATGATACATATATAATTGGCTTAGTTTTCATAATTTTTGATCTTATTATTATGAGTTTTATTATGTTTGTGAAAATAATTTTACATCTGAAAATCTACTTTCAAGATGTAATAATCATTAATATTATATACATAATTTTATAATTATATAAAATATATATATATATAATGATGATGTCTTTATCATTTATTGTACAAAATTGAAACTAAAATACAAAATATATATAATACAGTAGAACCTCGATTATCCGGACTAATTGGGGATGAAGGTAGTCCGGATAAGGAAAAATCCGGATAATCGAAACAAATACTTTAATTTGTCTTTTAATGATAATACAACACGTTTTCTTTTCGATGACATATCGGTAATATTAAAAGTAAATACTGTATTTAAATCGTNACTTTTTGAACAGACCTTGTATGCTCGTTTTAGGAGAGTGCTTAATGAGGAGTGTTTCGTATGATCCTATGAGATATAAATCGATGTGTGTTAATATTCTTAGCTTTTTTTTCTTTCTTCTACGTAAGTTTAGAGCATTTTTCTTTCCTTTTCTTTTTTTTTTTATCTCCTTTTCGGCTTTAGCCTATAACTCTATGAAAATTTTAGTTGGCAACATGTGAAACCAATCTATTGCTCTGTGACGTATTTCCTTTCAATATGGCCGAAAGTGTACTCCACGTGTATAACCTGTCGTAATGTTGATTTGGAAAAGTTTGTAATTATTTGCAAAATAAAACGTAAATGTCTTTCCGAAATATTCTTATTTTAGCGTTTATATTATTATAAATTGAATAAATGTAAAATTTAATTAATGAAGTATTACAATATTTATGAATTTCTATCGCATACATCTTGAATTGGTTTATTCCTATTAGTAAATAGTTTTAAAGTTGTAAAATATGTATTCTATTTTCATATTTTTTATGTTTACATAAATAGTTTATCATCACTGTTTTTAAGATGTCAGTAGTTTTATTTGTGATTTTTATCAAAATATTTTGTTTAACCTTATGTAGTAAATGATATTACTAAGTATTTTATGTTTATACACTTACATTTTTTTTTTTTAGATTACAACTTAAGTTTTACAATGATGGAAGGTGATAAAAAAAACATGGTACAACGCAAAAGGAAAAATGATGAACAAATGGATGTTGATGATTCTGAAAAAGGTTTTCCACCATTAAAAGTTGAAAAGATGGTTTGTATATGTTACAAAATCATAAGATAGAATTAATTATAATTATATTTTAATTAATTAAAATATTCATTTCAAACAATATAAAGATACTGTTATGAAATACTAAGTTAAATTATATTCTATAATATGTTTCTTGTCTAGCTTGGTATATACATGGCTTGTCCCAAAAGTAAGTGTACTGATTTTTTATTTAATGACTGTGCAGCTTAACACGTCATTAATTGGTATTTTCACATTGCTAGATATCTTAGCAGCATATATAGACCTGTTTCAAGTAGATCGGTTAAGTCAAACATGCACAATTTGTGTTCATATAAGATAGTGTTTTAACACATTGTTACATTTGAAATGGAGAAAAATCTATAACAACATTACATTATCAAAGTTTTGTGTGAACCAAAACATTTTCAGATTTAACCAAAGCTTATGGAGATGCCACTTTATTGAGAAACATGGTGTTTAGATGGCACAAAGATCCAGGGTAAAGACAATGCTTATCTTTTTTTTTTTGATAGCCATGGAATTGTGCAAAAAGAATTTTTACCTTCAGGACAGACAGTTAATCAGGCCTTCTACAAGGATGTCTAGGAACGACTTTGAAAACAGGTCAAACAAGTCTGCAGGGACATTGCAGAAGATTGGATGCTGCACCATGATAATGCATCTGTTATCAATTTGAGAGTTTTTAGCCAAGAAAAAAATCCCCACACTCCCACAACCTCTACAGCCTGGACCTAGCTTCTTGCAACTTCTACCTATTCTCTAAGATAAAATCCAGGTTGAAAGGTCATAATTTCAGGACAGTGGAAAACATCAAAAAAGTTGTAACTGAAAAACTAAACACCCTTATGGAAAACAACTTTAAGTACTACTATGACCATTGGAAAAAACTTTGGAACTACTGTGTGACTTCACAAGGGTCATACTTTGAAGGAGATCATTTGTAGTTTGATGTAACTCTTGTGTGCTTTGAAATAAAAAATCAGTACACTTAACTTTTGGGACAGAGTAGTACTTGTGAGCATTATGTTGGCCTCTATTCCTAGAATTATTACACCCTAGACCAGTGTTTTTCAACCTTTTTCATTGAGTGGCACCCCTGATTGAAAAATAAAAAATTGTGACACCCTTGACCAGCGGCGGATCTGAATAAGGGGGCTAATGGGCCAGATAAATTTTTTGCGAAAACGAATATTATGCACAATGCTGGGGTGGGGTCCGAGGAGGGAGTTTCCTTCCCGGGAAGAAAACTTTTAAAAATAGACAATTTGAAGTAGCATTTTAATGCAAAAAAACAGCGTTTCTACGTGTTCAAAATCAAAATTTAAGTCNATAAAAACAATAAAAAATTATACTTTAGAAGTTAATTTAGTATGAAAACATAAAATATTTGAGTAGCCCAAGACATAGCCAAAGATTGCAACGCCACAGCACTAGCGAAAATTTAAATTTGCCGACTGGAATTCTTTCGGATGATTGACTTTCGGAAAATTGACGCTCTACTGTATATACAGTTGAATCTATCTATCTCAAACATGTTTATCTCAAAATTTATTTTTCCCTGCATTTTCAGCCTAAATTCAATGTATTTTCCATGTTTATCTTAAATAATTTTCTTCAAAAACCTTTATATTATATCACAAATTATGGACTAAAGTATCAATTACAAATTCAAAGCTCAGTGACTACATTTTGATACCATAAATTGTAGTTGAGAAACATCTCTTGCAATACAGTACATAGTTGCAATTAATACTGCTTTTCTTTGATTGGCTATGAGTTTGGCTTGCATCTTATTTATTGAAGAAAGTCAGGCATCAGAAACTATTGACAAACTATTTCTGTTAAAGTATGTCAAAAATGTGTTATTTAATAATACAGATATGTACTGTACTTGCTACTGTATTAATAAAATGCAATAGCAAGTACAATATATATCTCCAGTTAAAATTATTACTGCTTACTGTATCAAACTAATAAATGTTTAAATAAAAGAAATACTATAGCAATTTTATATTGTTCAGTTGAATTCACTAAACTACATAATGTGTTTTAATTGCCCTATCTATATTCATGCATTCTCACTTCAACTTACAATTTTAAGAAAATTTGTAAATGTGATGTGGCCCGCATGAATTTTACCAGTTGCAGTAAATAGCCCATTGTTTAAACGAGTTTGACTCACCTGTTGTATAGGAACGTCTATATCTCACATTTCTTCTTACTGTGAGATATACAGGCTTAAAGGAAGATGCACACACGTGGTGCGGCAAGGAAAAGTGGTGTCGCAAACACATCTTCGCCATGCGGTAGCACAACCACACAAGCGGCAATCCTTTAATGTTTACAAATTTTGTTTTGTACGGCTTGCTTTATTTAGCTGGAAGATTTTGGATTAGAGATATTTTCTTGGATCGATAAAGAACTGGTGTACAAAATATGCTTATTCCTCAATAAAGAATACTATTTTGAGTAAGATTCGGTTGTTTTGTTCTTTGAATTAAATTATATATGATTATCTGTGTAGAATTTGTGTTAAATTTATTATCTTTTCTCTTTATTCTGATGTTAGTTATCTCGGTTAACCGCGTCAAACTTTCCACCATTAAAACACCACGTGATTGTATTTGTATTTTCTCACGTGACTACCAGACAAACTGTTATTGGCTGATAGAAACACGTCTTGGTGGCAGTCACCGCAAAAGATAGAATTCAACCAACTTTTGCGGCACAAAATCGACTTCTGCGCTGAGAAAAAGTGATGTCATTCTGCTGCTTTTCCTTGCCGCACTGCATGTGTGCATCCAGCTTAACTGTACAGCTGTCCCTTGATAATCTGACAGGTATGGGACCAAAGGAGTGTCCAGATTACTGAAAGTGATTACATATTTGGCATTGTTTTGCTAGCAGTAGCTTACATTATTCCCTACTCCAAGTGTTCGAACAGAACTGCTCACGGAAAACACACAAAATGTGTGTCTTCGTGTAAGAATTGGGTGGGGAGATTCACATCGTAACATGCTTCTGTGCAAGCAGACACGTAACGGGGACGGGTACCTTGACGGGAGGTGCGTCGGACTACTGAGCATGTCGGATTACAAAATGTCGAACTATCAAGGGACAGCTGTATATAATATTTGCTTATAAGTTTCCAAAAGCTGAAACGTACACAAATTAATACAAAACATATAATATCATACACATTGTCTTCCAGCAAATAATATGTATTGGAATCAACTAAAAACAGAACATTTCTTCCCTCTCAGGGGCCTGCATCAAGAGTTGATCATTATAGAATGTTAGCAGAGATTCTAAATTTAGAATGTTTTTACAAGTACAGTAGAGCGTTGATTTTCCGAAAGTCAATCAACCGAAACGTCAATCATCCGAAAGAATTCCAGTCGGAAAATTTAAATTTTCGCCAGTGCTGTGGCGCTTCAATCTTTGGCTATGTCTTGGGCTACTCAAATATTTTACGTTTTTGATACTAAATTAACATCTGAAGTATAATTTTTTATTATTTTTATATTTTTCAATATATTTATTTTGTTTGTACAAAATAAAAAAATAATTTTTAACGATACAATAGTCTTTGTTAGGCTTAACATCGACGAAAATTCAACGCGAAGCGACACGCAACGGATAAAAATTTTGATATTGGATACGTTAAACTATTTTTTCATACGTAAATCAGTTATCTGAAATATCAGTTATCCGGACAACTCTAGTCCCCAATTGATTCGGAAAATCGACGCTCTGCTGAATGTTCTTTTGACATCATCCCCTTTGAATGCTTAACAAATAGGTGCTTCATTTTACATATACAATTAATATTATTGAACTTTTAATAATGGGCAAATATAATAGACATATTAATGTATTTACATACCAAACGTCATAAAGATATTTGCATAAATTACAAAGTTACAGTATTTTAAACAAAGTAAGAGTTGAACAAAAGTATGGAATATTTTGATGATGATTATAATAAAAATTATTGTTTTAAAACATATTGGTTACTTGGAGTTATTAGAATCTTTGGCATTAAAACATCAGAAGATCACTTTGGTGATAAGGATTTCATCTACCAGGATGACAATGCATCATGCCACAGGTCTAGACAAATTAAGCAATGGTTTCAAGAACATAACATACAGCATTCAGAATTGTCTGCCAGTAGTCCAGATATATCTCCCATTGAAAATGTTTGAAATATTCTGAAGAAAATGATCTCTAAAAAAATGAGCTACAATAATTGAAGAATGAAAGAAAACAGTCAAAGAATTGTAGTCACAGGTTGATGCAAACTGTGTAAAAAACTTATTTCTGCAATTCCACAAAGAATTAGGCCAAAAGGTGACCCTACAAAATATTAATCATTATTATTCCATACTTTTGTTTAATATTTTTCATGATTCCGTACTTTTGTTTAACTCTTACTTTGTTTAAAACGCTGTAATTTTATAATTTATGCGAATATCTTTACAAAGTTTGATGTCAAAAGTGTTCGTTGGATGTTTTATTAAATGCTTTTTGTTGCCAGATTTAAAGATTCATTAATGATTGTCAAAGTTTGATGTGTAAATACTCTAATATGTCTATTATATTTGGCAATTATTAAAAGTTCAATGATATTTTTGTGGATTTGATTATTTCAGGATCAAAATAATTTTTCTGTAGTAATTACAAAATATTTCATACTTTTATTCAGGAGTAGTAAATACTTAATGCAGATCTAATTTTATTAATAGGGATATCCTGAACACGCCATCCATAAAGTGTTGTATTATATGATAAGAAGAGGTGAAATTCAACATCGTATGCAACGAAAAATGTTATACAGAATAAAATAGATGAGTAATGATTTTGTAAACTTATTTTAACTTGTATTGTAATCTGTTATATATTGTTTTAAAAACTATTTTTCTATTTGTATCATTTTCTAAATAAAATTTGTCAGAGTATTAATTTGTATTTATCTTATTCTTCATAATCTTTGAGAAATCACATACATTAATTGCAAATACAGTGGTACCTCAGGATACGAAATTAATCCGTTCCGAAACTGAGATTGTATAATGAAAATGTTGTAAGGTGAATCATTTTTTCCCATACAATTACATGTAAAACCAAATAATTCGTTCCAACACTAAAAACACACTCAAATTAAAGCTAAGTTGTACATTAAAAAAAATAATAATAATAACTGTAGTAAGGAAAACACTGAAAAATGCATTTTGTAGTTGTAAATGTATAAATAACCATAATAGAATAATAATTGATTAAAAAAATGTAGTTTTATTTGCACTTTACCTTTGAGGATAGACGACGGTGGAGGTGTAAACTGGTGGAGGAAGAGAGGGAGAAGGGAAATGATACTAAAACTTAACTTACATAACATAATGTAACAATAACTTAAAAATAACTTAACACTAATTTTTTAATCTTTTCTGTTTCATATTTTTTTTTAATTTTTTTATTCACTGCTTTTTTGTTTTCTTTCTTCACTTCCACCAGCACTTTCACTGGATAG